CTGGCATTCACACAATTTGGAATCATCACAACCCTTTTGTAAAGTATGATCTTCCTGAGAAGAGTCACATACTCGAGTGACTGAATCTTCTCCTTAGTGGTAAATCCCCACTAGTATTCATGCAAGGCAAAATAGGTTTCTCAGTTGTTAGACTGATATACCTAGTTCTCTCTCTGAACCGTTAGGAACAAAGATATATCAATGCACAAAATATAGAGCAGATCTTCAAAAGTGTTATTTCAGTTGCCCAAAAACATCTACTCTCCCATAAAATATATTGCTTTTAAATCATGCTCTCAAGAAACCAAAAATAGGTAGCCTTTGTTAAAAGTAACGTAGTTGACTTTTACAAACTTCATGTATTCAGCATACAGGGAAGTTTCTTACGGGTTGAGAGTTTAAACAGTAAGTTCTCGAAAGCATTCTATTTTTGGTCTCTTCTTTGCACTCCCTTCAGTCTAGTTCACTACTCAACCCAGACTGACTACTCACTGCAGCATACTGACACTACTGACATCTAAACTGTACTTTACTACTTTTGATGCAAACTGACTCCTAAAAATGGAGCCTCAGTCTGAATAGGCCCAGATTTGGTCACATGGTCTGCATTCCCCCCACAACCTCAAAGAACATAGAGTTAAGGGAAAGCTGCATATCAAAATATACATTCAACATAGGAAGCAATCTGAATTATAGACATAACAAATAACTAGTATAGGAAGCTTGTAGAAGGTTGCAATTTCCAGCTAGATTTCATCCCTGTATTGCCTGTTTAAAGATGCACGAAGAAAGAAGGAAGAAAGAGAAACTTAAAAAAAAAACTTTTGACCCACCCTCGTATATGGTCCAAGAGCAAATCAGGCATGAATTCACTAGACAACTTGACTCAAAGCATTTGAGGAGAGATAGAAAACAACACAACATCACAATTAAAAGCTCATCACAGCCAGATCCAAGGAGCCTGTTATAATAGGAAAGTTTTCACTTTGTGTCCAAAGGAGAACAAACAGGAAGCCATCTGGGCCTTCTCAGTGGTAGCTCCTGAACTGTGAAAATCCCTCCTTAAGGATTTTCACAGTCCAGGAGCTACCACTGAGAAGACCCTCTTCTTTGTACCCACCAAATATCAATAGAAATTGAATTGGACGAAGAGAAGTGCCTTCCCATATTATCCAAGTGCTTAGGCAAGGTTATTAAGATCTTCTGGAGGGGCCCTTCTCTCGGTCCCACCACATTCGCAATCGCATCTGGTGGGGATGAGAGACAGGGCCTTCTCGGTGGTGGCCCCTCGACTGTGGAACTCTCTCCCGATGGAGATTAGATTTGCCCCTTCCCTCCTGACCTTCAGAAAGCTAGTGAAATCCTGTCTCTGGGACGAAGTATTTCCAGAATAATTGGTTGAGTCCAGCAATAGCCTAATAGTTATTGACCACATTTGCGGACTGAGCTGAACTTGATTCTGTCTTGGCGATTTGGCTTTTATGTATTTATTCTGTCTGTATTTTAACTTATTATGGTTTTATGATGTTTCAGATGTATTTGTGCATTGAATTTCTGCTGTTAGCAGGTGTGAGTCCCTCCACAGAGGTAGAGAAGATCGGGATATAAAAGTTTATCTATCTATCTATCTATCTATCTATCTATCTATCTATCTATCTATCCACACATACACACACAYACACACACACACAYATATATAWAKRTAAAGGTTTTCCTCTGACATTCAATCATGTCAGACTCTGGGGGTTGGTGCTCATCTCCATTTCTAAGTTCACCTCTGAGAAAGAATACTTGATTTTTTTTGGGGGGGGGGAGAAATAGGCTCAAAATCCTTTCTTCTCTACCCTTTTATGTTCTTTTTTTTTTTGAGACGTGAAACCATGCCGGCGTTGTCCGTAGACACCTCCAAGATCATGTGGCCAGCATGACTGCATGGAGCGACGTTACCTTCCTGACGAGCCTTATCAAGAATAAGGCTCCACAGTCACCTACGTACGCAACGCCAGGACATTGCACTTGGAGGACAATCTTAGTCGGACAATGTGGGATCGCCTTAGTAAGTAACTATCTATTGATCTACTCACATTTGCATGTTTTTGAACTGATAGGTTGGCAGAAGCTGGGGCTAACAGCAGGAGCTCACACCACTCCCTGGATTCGAACCTGCAACCTTTTGGTAAGCAAATTCAGCAGCTCAGCGGTTTAATCCACTGCACCACCAGATGCACTTTTCCAAATATATATATAGTCTTCCTGATATCCTGATAGGGATTTATAGATCATAATCAACTTTATATATTGGGCATGAGCAAACTTTGGCCCTCTGTCCAGATGTTCTGGACTTCAACTCCCACAATTCCTAACACCCCCAGGTCCTTTCCCAAGGGGGAAAAGGAAGGGATCTGAGGTTGTTAGGAATTGTGGGAGTTGAAGTCTGAAACACCTGGAGGGAGGGCCAAAATTTGCCCATGCCTGTTATACACTGTTCTTTCTCTCCCTTCCCAGGCAATATGCCCACACACTTTGGATTTACTTCTTATACAATGTCCATTGTCCTCTGAGAAAGAATACTTGATTTTTTGGGGGGAGAAATAGGCTCAAAACCCTTTCTTCTCTACCCTTTTATGTTCTTTTTTTTTTTAGACATGAAACCATGCCGGCTATATAAACAGACAGGGTGAGTGTTTGTACCAAAAACTGTCAGGACACACTGCTTTGAACTTCTCTTTCCTGGTTCCTTGGGAAAGATTGAAGAGGAAAGAGAAACGAGGGAAAGAAATTTTATATGTATACATAGATCTGATCAGAAAAAAAGAGAGCAAGCACTACATGATAACGTTTAAAAAAAATTACAACTGTCAACGTGGTCCACTTGGACCAGACTTAAGACATTTTCCCCTATCCATCTTGTGTTCAAATAGCCAGAGCTGCAAAAGTGTAGAAACCAGCATCAAAGATTTTTAACTGCTTTGGAGAATGACAAGCAAAGAGGAGAATGTCAGTGAAGTTGAAATGATAGCCTTCCGCCTCATTCCAGAAATACTAATCTCATATTTTATCTATCTGTTTACCCTTCGGAATATAAACATTATTTTAAAATTCCCATGAAAATCCCTACAGATTGTTTTTTGCGAGATTCATGATATTTTGATGGGGCTCTTATTTAATGGCTGCTGAGGCTGGAGCTCAAAAAGGCCTTTAATCATAGAATCATAGAGTTGAAAGAGACCTCAAGGGCCATCCAGTCCAACCCCCTGCCAAGGAGCAGGAAAAAGCTAGTATCATCTTGAGGTGAGAGTGAGCAGGCCGAAGCCTGTTAGAGGTATTGGGCCAAAGCTAGTGTCGTCCTTTGTGAGGTAAACCTCAGTGTGAGGTAAACCTCAGTGTGAGAGAAGCCTTGTGTGAGAAAGCTCCAGTGTGAAGGCTGCTGCATGTAAAGCTACTATGTATTTGTTTGTTTGTATTATGGAAACCTAGTTCATAGAATCATAGAGTTGGAAGAGACCTCAAGGGCCATCCAGTCCAACCCCATTCTTCCAAGAAGCAGGAAAAAGCTAGTGTCGTCTTGAGGAGAGAGTGAGCAGGCCGAAGCCTGTTAGAGTTAGTGGGCCAAAGCTGGTGTCGTCCTGTGTGAGGTAAACCTCAGTGTGAGGTAAACCTCAATGTGAGGTAAACCTCAGTGTGAGAGAAGCCTTGTGTAAGAAAGCTCCAGTGTGAAGGCTGCTGCATGTAAAGCTACTATGTATTTGTTTGTTTGTGTTATGGAAACCTAGTTCATAGAATCGTAGTGTTGGAAGAGACCTCGTGGGCCATTCAGTCCAACCCCTTGCCAAGAAGCAAGGAAATCGTATTCAAAGCACCCCGACAGATGGCCATCCAGCCTCTGTTTAAAAGCCTCCAAAGAAGGAGCCTCCACCACACTCTGGGGCAGAAAGTTCCACTGCTGAACAGCTCTCACAGTCAGGAAGTTCTTCCTAATGTTTAGGTGGAAGATGATGTGAAATATGTCAAAATCCAGAATTGTCCACCTGGCAACTGAGATAGTGACGCCTTTGCTTTCTGAAGGTTTGGCATATACAAACTTTGTTTATTAAAAATGTCATGCATCAAATGAACTTCGGGCTATGTTAGTTACATACGAAACTGAAATGAATTTCATATTTAGGCCTGGGTCCTCAGGCGAGGGAAGAAAGAGTGGGGAAAGTGTATACATGGGTGGGTCAAAAAGTAATGCCTCCAATACATGTGTGAGTCAAAAAGTAATGCATCCATAGCTCTAACTTTTCTTTCTTTTACAGTCACTGGACAATCCATGCATGATATGATAGAAGGAACCTTACTCTACTGATAGAGTCTTTTCTTTTTTCCATTGACTGATTAGAACCATGAATCTGAAGCTCAAAGAAAGAGTCGTCATTTAATTTCTGGCCAAAGAAGGTTGTGCACCTCAGGAAATCCATCATCGCTTGAGGAATATTTATGATTTGGCCCTTCTGACTTTGGCCTGTTTGGACATCAGAAAGGCAACCTAGGTGGTTTCAGATTCAATGACTTCAATGACGTTCAAACAGCTTAAAAATCATGGCTCATGAAGCAAAACTCTGAATTTTTCCAAAATGGTTTGGATGCCTGGGTTCAACAATGGTGCAAATGTGTACACATTGATGGTGACTATGTTGAACGGTAGTTTTGCATAGAGGACAGTTCAGGCTATGATCTGGAGTAAATTCTGCTGTTATAGGTTCATTCAGACCATTTTTAGGACACAGGAGGCAAAACTTTTTGACCCACCCTCGTACAAGCTTTGTTCCACGCACCACATTATTAGATATGTCGTGCATCAAATGACCTTTGGGCTATGTAAGTTGCATACAAAACTGAAATGATTTTCATGTATAGGCTTAGGTCCCCAGGGAAGGGAAGAAAGAGAGACGCAGGTGGGGAAAGTGTAGAGCTCTGCCAACTTTGATATCTCAGGAGACCCTTCTGTATGTTTTCAGATGTCTACATTTCTCAAAGGCTGGAAAGCCCACCTCCCCCAGTGTCATCACTCATCCGATAAACTCTGAGACCTGTTACGTTAGTGGTGAAATTTCTGCAACCAATCTTTGTCATCAAGGAGCGAAGGAGATCAGAAGGGGGGAAAAGGAGGCTGACAGAGGCAAAAAAGGAAGAGCAACCCCGTCAGGATCAGTCAGCACTGTCACACACTTGGATTGGCCTTCATGCACTGATTTAATTGTATCTGTGAACTGCCATGCACCAATAATGAGGCTTTAATAAATGTGCTGCAAGTCTCTTGCTTGTTTGTGTTGTAACAAACGACTGGGATGATCCATTAGGATTGCATTGCAAATTCGAGTCCCCAAGTTACAAACACCCTAAAATATATGATAGACGCAATATAGGCTACGACAGCCCATGGATGGAGAACCAATACAAGATGGGTTTGGTAATTTGGTGGTCTTATCTCTCAGAATATGTAATCAATGATTATATTAATCAAAGTATATGAGTAGTCGTACAAAACAAGACTGGTATAGGAAATGGTCTATGCTTTTTTATTGTAAATATGTTTTATTAAATGGTGTCCCTGGTGGCGCAATGGGTTAAACTGCTGAGCTGCTCAACTTGCTGACCAAAAGGTCACTGGTTCAAATCTGCGGAGCAGGATGAGCTCCTGCTGTAAGCCCCAGTTTCTGCCAACCTAGCAGTTCGAAAACATGCAAATTTGAGGATATCAATATGTACCACTCTGACAGGAAGGTAACGACTCTCCATGAAGTCATGCTGGCCACATGACCTAGGAGGTGTCTACGGACAACGCCAACTCTTCGGCTTAGAAATGGAGATAAGCAACAACCCCCAGAGTTGGACACAACTAGACTTAATGTCAGGGGAAAACCTTTATCTATGTTTTATTAGTGTAATCATGTTTTATTTAAATATGTTTTATTTAAATATTTTGGAACCCCCGGTGACGCAGTGGGTCAAACCCCTGTGACGGCAGGACTGAAAACCGATAGGTCACAGGTTCGAATCCGAGGAGAGGCAGATGAGCTCCCTCTATCAGCTCCAGCTCCTCATGTGGGGACATGAGAGAAGCCTCCCAAGGATGATAAAAACATCAAATCATCCAGGTGTCCCCTGGGCAATGTCCTTGCAGACGGCCAATTCTCTCACACCAGAAGCGACTTGCAGTTTCTCAAGTCGCTCCTGACACAACAAAAAAAAATTAAATATGTTTATTTTTATTTTTAATTCCAATTTCTTTTTAGATATATGCTTATTGATGTTATTTGTATTACATTGATCTGTATGTATTTGCTTTACCATGACACTGAATATTTGCCTTTTTGTACATAAACCGCCCTGTTTCAAGCTCTGCCGAGTCATTGCCCTGAAACAAATGCTATTAAAACATCTTCCAGCTAGTGAAATGACAAGGGTCAAGCACAGATTCAAACCCAGGTTTCCCAGGCTCCATACTCAAACCATAACCCATCGACAGAGCTAGAAGGTACTAAAAACTCACCTTCTCAAAGCCACACCAAGTGGAACTGACCTTCTATGATTCAGTGAGTTTTGAGCTGCTGACTCAAATATTCAAGCATTCAAATTGTATATTTTTAAGAACTCAGAATTTAACTGGATGAGCAAGTTAATCGGCTGCACCTTTCCCGCAAGCTGACATGTTTTACATTTCAGACCCTTTCCACCAAATGTATGAAGAAAAATTTCGGGAAGACCCTATGAGGAAAAACAACAACACGACAACACCAAACCAAACAATGTTGTCATCCACCCCTGTCTGTGATTTCGCTCCTTGCAATGGGCTCCTATAGCCAAGTTGCAATTATAGCCTGGTTTCATACCATAGAAGGAAGGGCTTCCAAACTTTACCACATCCATCCATTGAGGTCATATTTCTTCGCTCTCTTTCCTTTCCCTGCTATTTTCGCTAGGGATGAGCCTAGATCGCCTTCTGTTCGGCACCCCCGTCTCTACATTTAGATGAAAGCAAGTGAAAGAGGAGGGGGACAAAAACCTTGGCAAAAACAACAGAGAGATAAACTGAATAAAATACACAGTGTCCTTTCTCTCCTGCCAAATTCAGGGCTTGAATTATGAGGCTTGGGGCTTGGAATATGACAGAGTGGCCTTTTGGAAAAGCCACAAACCTCACCACCGAGGCCACCAGATTTCGTCCAACAAAGCTTTTTGGATGCATGGATATAGATAGATAGATAGATAGATAGATAGATAGATAGATAGATAGATAGATAGATAGATAGATAGATAGATAGTAGATAGATAGATAGATAGGATGATGGAGGATGGATGGATGGAGGGAAGGATAGATAGAAGATAGACAGATAGATAGCTAGTAGATAGGTAGATATGAAGATAGGATTGAATCATGAACGGATGATAAGATAGATAGATAGATAGGATAGATAGATAGATAGATAGATAGATAGATAGATAGATAGATAGGATAGATAGATAGATAGATAGATAGATAGATAGATAGATAGATAGATATGAAGGATGGATGGATGGATGGATGGATGGATGGATAGAAGGATGGATGGATGGATAGATAGATAGATAGATGGATAGAAGCATAGACGGATGGGATGGATGATGATGATGGATGGATAGATACAATAGATACGACAGACAGACAGACAGACAGACAGACTCTCTCTCTCTCTCTCTCTCTCTCTCTCTCTCTCT